CTTTAATTTTATGGGCTTACTAAGGCAGTCTCGATATTTTTCTATTTTCTTGCAATTTGATTGTCATCCTTGCGATCGACCCGTTCTGGTTCATTTTATATTCAATATATTATGTCATATTAATTTAGTTGCTTGCCCTGGATCGCAATAGGAGAAAACTAATAATGCAACCGCCGAGTGCTGTTGACACATGTTAAGGGTGCAAATTGCACCCTTCAGGGCAAATGGGCCCCCTATTTGTGACATCACGGTGTGAACGCTACTATTTCCAAATAGGGGTGTACATTATTAAGATAGGTTTTATCTCTTTACAGGCTTGAACTTAAGATAGTTTTAAATGGGAATTATTTTATTACACAAAGGTTAAGCGCAATATTAGTGCTGAAATGGCAAATTGATTTATATCAGTTCTTTGAGCGCCCGAAAAAACCTAAAAATATATCTAGATATACTTTAAACGGGCGTGAAATATAAATGCAAATGAAAACTTTGCTGGATATTGTTTTGGCCGAGAGCCGAGCGTACCGCCGTCGACGCCAAAGCGAGGGGTTTTTGATGCAAAGCTGTTCTTCGTTAGGTGGTATCATCGCCGATGATTCTCCTATAGAATGAGCATGCGCATGCGCGGCGGTATTATTAATTTACTGGTAAAAGTTCGGCAGTGTTTGCTTTTTAGTTAGTTTATGAAGTCGTTTTAAGATAACTCTTTCCACTGCGACTAGCTGCGAATGATAAGATGTTGTATAAATAAATCGCAATAACTTTTTTTCTACGAAAAGACATATTAGCGGTGAAAGTCGTTATTAACGAGACCTCTTTTCTAAACATTGAAAAAATGTAATTCAATAATAAATTTGTTTATTATTATTATTATTTCAACAACACATCAAACATACAAGCTTGAATTTTTTTCACCAAGTAGGGACTAACAATAAAATTCATTAAAAAAATGTATTATCAAAAGAACAGCAAGGCCTTGATTTGTGATTTGTTCCTGGTGATGGGTTAATGGCAACACAGCATTTTGCACAATTTCCTTTGAGAAACGAAAGCGTTTTGTGAAATCGACTTCAGTAAATTTCGCTAAGGTGTTTCATACATCGCGAATATACCTGAAAATAATACAATTATTATTTGAATTGCATATCACGCTTGTTGATGTTTTCTTTACGTACCTTTGTGGTATGTTGAAATCTAATTCCAAATCTGAATTATCCCGATTAAAACTGTACAATACATCGAGATCGTTATCTATATATTTAAAACAAAAATAGTATAAAAAACACGAGAAGTTGAGAACTTTCGCGCACAAAATAGCTTTGGCGATCGTTCGGAGATTCCTACACCCATCTCCGACAAATTCCCACCGCATCGCCCAACAACATTAAAATGGGCGTTCGTTAGATGCCCAACCGATCAGGTGTGCAACCAAAATATTACAAATTACAACCGCAGAAACATCTGCTCATGTAGAGTGCCTATTTTATAGCGAGTTTTCAAATTCAAACTAAAGTTAATTGATGCTGAAAGTAAAAATGACTACTTGTGACCCGTTTTACAGATTCAGTGGGTTGGAAAAGTGGATAATTTCCACTTGATTTATATAATGGCAATAGATAAATACATCCACAGCACCTAAAAACGGTTAACTGTGCTGATCCAGCTAATAGTAATAATTATATCCATGGTGGCGTATTTAAAACGCCCACTGGGACTGATGACAAAATTCAACCACCTGAACACTACAAACCACGTGGGTTGGCCACCAATTCATTTGTAGAACTTGATCGTGATTCAGCTGATTTCCCATCGCATGATGTCTATATAAGCATTAGATTCGGTTTTTTACCGTAAAATTTTATCTTCTACGTGCTTATGAAATAAGCAGTGTATGATGAGAACAAGAGTTTTTGTTTTTACTTTATTTATTTAGATTATCTGGGCTTTGGCGGCATTTTGTGGTCTAGCCTTTAAAATGTTGGTGTGGGATGCCCGAAACCGGAGATGCCTCTGAAAATTAACCTTCCCCTTTGCATGTCGACAATGCCAATCAATTGCAACAGCCTGCATCATGCTTCCTATTATTTCCGTATTAATCCAAGCCGACGTAACGTGCATGTCCATTGTTCCTTTGATGCGTTAATAATCTGATACTTATTGACAGTGCTCGATGCGTTTAGTCCAGATCTCAGATGGCTTTGGTCGATGTATTTGCATTAAAATTAGGCGAACTTAAAGCATGTTGCACTGGAGGCACTGGGCTGATGGTATAAAAATCCCTACAAAAGTGGAAAGCTCTTGAATGTATGACAGGAATATTGCCCAAGTTATATTAATCTGAATTTATAACAAAAAATGGAGAAATCAATAGGTAAAATGGAGAATGAACAAGACAATATAATTGTAGACATCGAACAAATGAAATCAACATGGAAGGATCACGTGAAATAATTGTTCTCAGACACAAGAACAGAACAACAAATAACAAACGCCATAACAGGACCGCAAATGATTTAAGACGAAGTTGAGACAGAATAATGACCCTCAAGGATGGAAAGGTGCAGCCAGAGATTGTCAAATTTTTTGATGAGGATTTCTACAGGGTTATTCACGCTATACGGCACG